GAGAGTGAGTGTGTGTGTGAGAGAGAGTGTGTGTGTGTGTGAGAGAGAGTGTGTGTGAGAGTGTGTGTGTGTGTGTGTGTGTGTGTAAATTTGCCTTTTTCGTGGAGGAGGCAGAGTAGGGTTAAAGGCAGAGAAGTGATGATCTATTGTTTACTTGTATGCCAAGGGGAAGAGGAATTTGAAATGGAATTAGCAGAAGAGCTGAAATGGAAAACAGAAGAAATGACTCTGCTTTCTGGGTTGCTAAATAAATTCATCCCTAAATCAGGGTTATGTTTCCCATTTGTTTTTCTTTTTTAATTTTCCTCCCTTGCTTTTGTCCAATTTTTTTTTCCATCGAGGATTCCTGGTTGTTGAAATTGAACTGTGAATTAGAAGACACAGATCAGGTCAGAAAACGCAATAAGAAATCACTGAGCCACCACTGACTTTCTATCTGGGAGTTATTGCAGTTGTTTTATGAAATTATTCCTGATCTTCCAAAAAGGTGAGCAATTCACGTCAAGTATGCTATCAGGCCACTCAAATGTCACAAATTATTTCATTTTGAAGATGTTCAAGTGGGTGCCTATTACTCACACAGCAAAGTCGACTTCCATTTTCTATTATTAGGAAGGAAAGACGTTGGAAGAGAAAGATTCCCTTGATACGCTCTTGGCCAAATGGAAATGGTAAAATCTACAATAGCTAATCTGAGGAAATCGGTTTCCCTATACCCCTCCTTCAGTTACCATTAACACAAAATGAAGATGGTGCTGAGAGAACTGTAGCACTCTGCTTCCTGCACCCCAACCTCGAGCCATGTCCTGTCTTTTTCCATCTCTTCTTGGCCTTTGTTTATCTTTAACCTGCAGTTGTCAGATGACCTGCAGACAGCCAGGCCTCAGACTCATGGGTCATAGCAACCCACTCAAACATATCACCTCCAGTTATTACTGCCTAGACATGTCTCCTTGCCATTCCAGTCCGTGGGAGCTGGATACCATGTATAATGATATCTGTGGCAGAAGCAACAATTCCGTTACGGTTTTCTTGTGACCCTACTGACTTGAGTTGTTGTTGTTTATTATCACAAGTGCTGACCCAGCCTGCGTCTACATACAGTGATCTCATGCTGAACTTGAGGTGATCACATTCATTTTCACTGTTACCTGCTGACTGGGGAAAATCTCATACTCCCCCCCCCCACCCGCCCCAGCACAGCTCCATGTTAACGTGAGTCCCGGCTTCTATGTTCAAGAAGCACACATGAGAAGAGCTGCCCTGGATCAGCACTGACATTGCTTCCTTGCTCGGAAGCTCGAGTACTCTTGGCCAGAATGGTACTCACTTTGTAGAAGCTCTGCTTGTTGGGTCACTCCACTCTGAAAAGAAAAGGCACACACTTACTACGCATGCTTACCAATGTCAGAAGACACTTCTGTAGTAACCCCCCGCCATGAGCAACAGAAGACAAAAAGGGAGAAAGTGCTGACTGGATGCATTACAATTTGGTTGTCTTCTGTGGTTATTTCATCTTATAATGCTATGAGGTATGATACTTGGAAAAGGGAGGAAGGAAAGGACATGGATGTTTGAAGTAAAATTAAAAAACAGTAAAAAGAATAATGACAACAAAACACCTACTTTGTAAGGTGAATCCTGGGGTCAGATGCTGGGATTCCTGTAAGAAAGAATGCATACAGTATAAACATTAGTTATGTGATACAAAAGAAAACAGAAGGTTTATCCACTATTGTTGAAGATATTACTTGAGTAATGTCGCAGATAAGAAACCACTGTTAGCAAGCCCATTAATTATGTTCTTGTCCAGAGTTTGACATGATACACAGTTGCTCATCCAACCTGCTAAGACATGATCACAGCTTCCATTTTATCAGTATCAGAAGACCAGCATGCAAACTGGGAACCAATGAACTGCATGTGTGAAATCCAAGTGCACAATTTCTCAGTTAGGCAATGCTTCAAAGGAAGTGAAAGAATCTTGGTTAAGAAAAAAAGTAATTATGGATTTTATAAGATGCACAATCAAAATCAAAACTAGTAGGCTTTTTTACTTGTTCTCTTAGAATCAATATGACTTTTGACCTCATAACTAGGGCCTATCTGAAAATAGTTATACCTATCCTTTTGTACAGGAGATGCATTCCTAAATAGTGTAAAACACACTGTATATGAACTTTGTAAGCAAACCAATATAAAATTTTTAAAAAGGAGATGCATTTCTAAAACTTTTTGTGAGGTGCAACAAAGTAATTTTCAGTACAATAGTGGAGTACTGAAAGGTTAGGAGTTTGAATCTACCCAGTGGTGCTGTGGAAGAAAGTTTTGGTAATCTGTTATAGTAAGAGTCAAAATCAGCTGCATAGCACTGGGTTGGTTTGTTTTTAATTTGACTTGAAAGTCACTCTGCACAAAATTCACCTGTTCTTCAGATTAATGCGGATTGGTCCCTGGCAGGCTTGCTGGGAGTGTGGCCCACCTGTGTGCATGCTGAGACAACTGGTGGGCATAAGCACCCCAGTGATCCACACAGCCTGCGAAGCACAACGCGCCTGGAAGAGTCAGTCAGTATTTGCTGCAAAGCAAGCATTCCCAAACAGCAGACAATGCATTCAAGTAAATACAAGAATTAGGCGCATCAATCACTGCTGCAAGGAATCCACTCATTAAGCCTAATCTTTCTACCCCATCGAGTAAAAATGGGCTCACAACATAATTTATCTTTACAAGAACTAGGCAGGCCCACTTAATGATGTGCTTTAATCGAAAGCGAACTTTTTGATCTATTTAGCACAGTTCTGAGGTCTAAGAGATTTGTCTTCTGGCAAGCTCAGCTCTCCAGAAGACCACCATAAAAGCAACAGGGGGCTAAGCCCCTTTGCTAAAGAGCTGTCATAGAGCCCATGCAGTCTGCTGCTAGAGGCATCCCTGTCCATACTCAGAACAAACTTTTGACAAAGGATTCTCCAAAGCTTGAACATTTGACTTCCACTCCAATTATATCACAAATGGCAATAAAGGGCTAGGCACACTGAGTCATGGAAACCAGATTTGCGGTACTCAACAGGAAATTACACAACAAATTCAAAACTTGAAAGAAGCACAGGAGACTATGGCCTTTTATTGCAGAGGGAAGCATTCCCATTTTAAGAGCACAACTATAGCATAGATAGAGTCTTCAATAATGATTGCATCTCAACATCAAGACAAAAATCCTCACCACTGAATTGATATGCAACTTCATGACAGATGGAGAAAAGATTGAAATTGTTAATGATTTCATCTTACTTGGGTCCACAATAAACACCCACGATACCAGCAGTCGGGATCAGAAGACATATTGCATTAGGAAAATACACACTCGGGGCACTCACAAATTACTGAAGAGCAATGATGTCAGTGTGAAGACTAAGGTGCACCCGATTCAGGCCATGCTTTTTTCAATCACTTTTTATGCATCTGAGAGCTTGACAATTAATAAGGATGACAGAAGAATTGATGCCTTTGATTTTGGTGTTGGAGAAGAGCACTCAGTATCTCATGGACTGTAAAAAGGAAAAACAGACATGTCTCGGAAAACCTGCAGTCAGAGTACTGCTTGGAGTCAAGGACAGCGAAGCTTCGTCTCATATACTTAGGAAGAACTAAAGGGACATCATACTTGGAAAGGTGGATGGTGAGCAAAAGAGAGGAAGACCCTTAACCAGGCCCAGTGACTGCAGCCAGGGACTCAAAAACTGACATACGATGCCTCAATAATTTGGAAAGGTCCCTAACTGCAGATTTTCCCAGTGTAATGTGTCTCCTGACTTCCTGACTGCTGGTGCACAGGTTTTGGTGGAGCTCCTTGATTAAGATAGACTAGAAAGCACGATGAGCCATCTACTTCCTAAATAACAGTCCTTTGAAAACCCTATGAAACTAAAGAAAGAGGGTAGTTACAGTGGTGTTGTGATAGAACTTATATTGGAAGTAATTTGAAATTAGGAAAAACAATAACAAGCATCATTTATTAATTGGAACATGGAATGTATATAGCTTGAATGTTGGGAAACTAGAAATTGTTAAAAATGAAATGGGTGGAGGGAGAGGTGGATAAAGGAAAGGGGAAAGATCTGGTGTGAAAAACAATGTGTACAAACTTTGTAAATTAACCATTAAAAAAGAATTTAAAAAAATGAAAAATGAAATGGAACATCAATATACTAGGCACATAGTAAGATGAGATGGACCAGCTTTGGCCACTTTGAATCAGATAATCATATGGTATACTATGGGCTGATTGGCAGCATCATGATAGATGGTGAAGAGATAGAGACTGTTAACAGCTTCGGTTTGCTTGGCTCAACAATCAATACTTTTGGTACCAGCAACCAGGAAATTAAAAGGTGAATTGCACTGGGAAAGTCTGCTCTCAGAGACCTTTCCAGAGTACCGAAGAGCAATGATGTAAGTCTGGAGACTAAGGTGTGCCTGATCCAGGCCATGGTCTTTGCAATTACTTGCTAGGAATCAGAGAGCTTGACAATGACTAGGGATGATAGAAGGAGAATTGATGCCTTTGAGCTGTGGTGCTGGAGAACAGTATTGAATATACCACAGCCTGCTAGGAGAACAAACAGGTTCATGCTAGAGAGGGTAAGACCAGGCTGCTCCTTGGAACCAAGGATTCTGAGGCTTCATCTGACATATTTTGGGCATGTTGCAAGAAGGGACCAGTCCTTGGAGAAGGACATTATGCTTTGCGGGGGGTGGGGGTGGGGTGAGGTGGGTACAGTGCAAAAGAGGAAGACCCTTGATGAGAAGGACCGATTCAGTGACTGGGATAATGGGGTCAGGTGTGTCAGAGACAATAAGGCTGGCACAGGACAGAGCAGGGTTGAGGGCTGCTGTACACAGGGTCATAATGAGTTGCAAGCGACTCAGTAGCACATAAAAAACATCATCCTATGCAGGAAATAAAACGATTAGAACAGCACATCAGCAGAGAACTGCCGGAAGTCCAGGCTGGGTTTAGAAGGGGTCGTGGTACTAGGGATATTGTTGCTGATGTTAGGTGGATCTTGGCTGAAAGCAGAGAATACCAGAAGAATGTCTATCTGTGTTTCATTGACTATGCAAAGGCATTTGACTGTGTGGATCATAACAAACTGTGGCTGACTCTGAGAAGAATGGGAATCCCAGAACATTTAATTGTGCTAATACGAAACCTATACTTGGACCAAGAGGCAGTAGTCAGAACAGAGCAGGGTAACACTGCATGGTTCAAAATTGGGAAGGGTGTACGCCAGGGATTCATCCTGTCTCCATACCTTTTCTTTTTTTTTTTTCCATACCTTTTCAACATGTATGCAGAGCAGATTATCTGAGAGGCTGGGCTCTATGAGGAGAATTGTGGCATCAGGATTGGTGGAAGATCTATTAACAATCTGCGTTATGCAGATGGCACAACCCTGCTTGCTGAAACTGAGGAGGACCTCATGCACTTGCTGCGAAGGGTCAAGGACTGCAGCCTTCAGTGTGGACTAAGGCTCAATGTCAAGAAGACAAAGATTCTCGCCACTGGACCAATTGGCAGCGTCAGGATGGATGACGAAGAGATTGAGATTGTTCACAGCTTCAGTTTGCTCGGCTCCACAGTTAACACTCTTGGTACCAGCAGTCAGGAAATCAAAAAGCGTATCGCAATGGGAAAGTCTGCTGTTAGGGACCTCTCAAAGGTACTCAGGAGCAACAGTGTCTCTCTGGAGACTAAGGTGCGCCTGATACAGGTCATGATATTGCAATCGCTTGTTATACATCAGAGAGTTGGACAATGACTAGGGAGGACAAGAAGGAGAGTGGATGCTTTTGAGCTGTGGTGCTGGAGAAGGGTACTGAATGTACCATGGACTGCCAGGAAAACAAACAGATTCATCTTGGAGAGGATTAAATCAAGCTACTCCTTGGAGGCAAGGATTCTGGGGCTTCGTCTGACATACTTTGGACATGTTGCCAGGAGGGAAGGGTCCTTGGAGAGGGACATCCATGCTTGGGAGGGTGGAGGGACAGCGCAGGAGGGGAAGACCCTCTATGAGATGGATTGATTCGGTGACTGGGGTAATCGGGATGGGTGTATCAGAGGCGGTGCGGTTGGCGCAGGATAGAGCAGGGTTTAGGGCTGTTGTGCATAGGGTCGCTATGAGTCAGAAGCAACTCGACGGCACATAACAACAACAACAACAATGCAGGAAATGAAAAACAGAGGAAGAATGGTGTTGCATTCATAGTAAAAAAAAATCAATTTCAAATTTTATCCTGAAATACGATGTTGTTAGTGATAATATCCACATGCACACAAGGAAAATCTGTTAACATGACTATTATTCAAATATATGCTCCTACATCTGGAGCCAAAGAGGAAGAAATTGAGACTTTTTTTACTCAATCTTGCAGTCTGAAATTGACTCAACATGCAGTCAAGATGCGTTAATGATAATTGGTGCCTGGAATGCAATAGTGGGAAACAGTGAAGAAGGAATAGTATTTGGAAAATATGGGCTTGGTGATAGAAATGAGGCTGGAAATAAAATGACTGAATTTTATATTTAGAATTTTTTATTCATTGCAAATACCTGTTTTAAAAGACACAAACGATGACTTTACATATGGACCTCACCT